AGAAATACCATCAATATATTTTAATAACTTGTATTCATTTGCTATAAGCCTGATTTAAATCAGTAGGCATTAGATAATATTAGAGACTCCTATATATTTACAAAAAAATTTGAAAAAAAAATCTCTAAAATAAGCTTATTTGGTTGATTATTTACTTATACTGCCTCATGACATGTGAAAATAAATATTTTCTGGTTGTAAATACTAATAATTGTATGACCTTTATAAACAATATAGTTTTCTGGATGGATATTTTTTGCTCTTGCTTTATTTCATGTTTTACTGGAAATTAAAGTACATGTTTTCTATTTGGGTGACCAGTACATTTTTTTAAAGCACTTTTTTTAGTGAATAAATGAATTAATTAATAATTTGATGAAATAAGTAAATAACTTGAATACATGTGACACTCTGAGAGATCAGTGGAGAAATTTCTGAACTCAACAAAATTTATCACAAGGATGACTAAAACTTGTAGTATTTTATGTCAGTGAAATTTTTATTGGTGGAGGTATGTTTTGAGTTTTTAATTTTGCTCATTTGTCTGTGATAATGAGATTCTAGATAAACATCTTTAGTGGCTAGTTGGCAATGTTAATTTGAATGTCAGGATATACAGCAAAAAAGAGGTAGGGGAAAACATTAAAAATAAAAAGGTTGGAAATGAGAAAAGCTCCAGTATTCTTCAGGTGATCTAGAAGACTTGCGTGCATGTGCAGGAAAGACCTGAGGACGTCCCAAAATTTTACATATTACTAACCTTGAGGCTCTGTAAGCATGAACTGAGAGTTGTAAACTGTTGGAGTGTTAAAGGAGTGCTCCAATGTATACACAAAGCCTCTTGGGATACTTTTGGTTCAAGGTGTTTAAGGAAATCTCTGTCCAAGCTCTTGCCAATCACTAACCTAACCAAGCAGAGACCTCAGTAGCCACATGCAACAAAGAATACAAATTTACAGAATTACCTCAGGGAAGTCACTGAACAAACAAGCAACAACAACAGCAACAACAATAAACAGAAACAACACTAAGCCTGGGAGAGGGGAGCGTAGAATCCCATTTCCGGAGTCATCATTTAAAATGTTCAGCTTTCAACAGAAAAACCTTCAGCACCATGAGATAGGCAAGACACAGGAAATTATAAACCATACAAAGGAAAAAGAAAAAAAGGCTATTAGGGACTGTCTTTGAAGATCCAAAGGCAATGGACTTAGCCCAACAAAGATATCAAATCATCAATTTTGGATATATTAAAAATTAAAGAAAACCATGACTAAAAAACTAAAGAAAACTAGAGGAACTATCAGAATTATGTCTTATCAAACAGATAATAGTAATAGTGGTATAAATTATATAAAAAAGAGAACCAAATAGAATGTCTAAAGTTGAAAAGTATAATAACTGAAATGAAAACCTGACTACACTAGCTCATCAGAAAATTTGGGCTGATAGAAGAAAGAATCAGTGAAACTAAAGATAAATAAATCAAAATTAGTGTGAGGAAAATTTTCAAAAACATGGAAAGAAAGTTGACAGAGCCTCAGAGAACTGTGGGACTCCATCAGACATACCAATATAGGCGTAGTAGGAATCCCAGAAAGGGTAAAGAGCAGAAAGTATACTCAAAGAAATAATATCTGAAAACTCCCCAAAGCTGATGGAACAAGTTAATCTACACATCCAAGAATCTCAGCGAACTCAGTGAGATAAACTCATAGAAATTAACACCTAGACACATAATCAAGCAGTCATAAGACAAAGACAGAGAAAATCTTCAAAGCTGCAAGAGTGAATGACTTATCACGTACAAGGTATTCTCATTAAGATTAATAGCTGATTTCTCATGAGGTATTAATCAGTGACATATTCAAAGTTCTGGAGAAAAAAAAATTTTCAACCCCAGATTTCTATAGGCAGCAAAACTATCCTTCACAAACAACAGAAAAATGAAGACATTCCCAGATAAACACCAACACGAATTATCACTAATAGGGCTGTCTTTCAAGAAATATAAGTCCCTTAGTTTAAAATGAAAGATCACTGGACAATAACGCAAATATACATGAATAAGTAAAGAAAACTGGTCAACATATCTAAATAGGTAAATATAAAAAACAGAATTTTTTTTTTGTTTATAATGCTTTTTTTGTCTGATCTAAAACACAATTGAATAAAACAATAATTATAAAACTGTGTTAATGGACTTACAATATATCAAGATGTAATCTGTATAACAATAACAGCATAAAGTAGGGAGGAAGTAATAGAGCTACATGGGAACAAATTTTTCTATAAGACTGAAATGAAGTTGGTATTAATTTGAAAAAGATTGTTGTAAATTAAGATAAGTTCAAGGGTAACCACTAAAAAGAAACCTTTAAAAATACAGCAAAATAAGTATAAGAATTAAAATTTTACACCATTAAATAAATATTTAACACAAAAGAAGGCAGTAAGGAAAAATGTAACAAAAAAGTCATAAGACCCAGAAACAATAGCAAAATAACTAATGAGTGGAAAGAACTCAAATCTCCAGCAACCCATGAATAGATAAACAAAATGTGGCATGTCTATACAATGGAATGCTATTTGAAAAGTGAAATGAAGTACTGATACATGATACAGCATGGATGAACCTGAAAACATTATGGTAAATTTAAAAAGCCAATCACAAAAGGCTAAATGTTGTATGGTTGCGTTTTTATGAAATATCCAGTGATTTCCGGGGGCTGGAGAAAGGGAAGAATTGCAAGTACGGCCACTGGTTGCAGGGTGTCTTTTGGAGATGATAAAAATTTTCTGAAATTAGAAAGTGATGATGTTTGCATAACTCTGTGAATATACTAAACCCACTGAATTGTAAACTTTAACAAAATGTATTTTATATGTGAACTATATCTCAATGAAGCTGTTATTTTTTTAAAAGAGAAGTGTAGGAATGGAAATAGAGATTTTTGATCCATGAGAATAAGTGCTAATTCTAAGGATGAGAANTTTTCTATAAGACTGAAATGAAGTTGGTATTAATTTGAAAAAGATTGTTGTAAATTAAGATGATAAGTTCAAGGGTAACCACTAAAAAGAAACATTTAAAAACACAGCAAAATAAGTATAAGAATTAAAATTTTACACTATTAAATAAATATTTAACACAAAAGAAGGCAGTAAGGAAAAATGTAACAAAAAAGTCATAAGACCCAGAAACAATAGCAAAATAACTAATGAATGGAAAGAACTCAAATCTCCAGCAACCCATGAATAGATAAACAAAATGTGGCATGTCTATACAATGGAATGCTATTTGAAAAGTGAAATGAAGTACTGATACATGATACAGCATGGATGAACCTGAAAACATTATAGTAAATTAAAAAAGCCAGTCACAAAAGGCTAAATGTTGTATGGTTGCGTTTTTATGAAATATCCAGTGATTTCTGGGGGCTGGAGAAAGGGAAGAATTGCAAGTACGGCCACTGGTTGCAGGGTATCTTTTGGAAATGATAAAAATTTTCTGAAATTAGAAAGTGATGATGTTTGCATAACTCTGTGAATATACTAAACCCACTGAATTGTAAACTTTAACAAAATGTATTTTATATGTGAACTATATCTCAATGAAGCTGTTATTTTTTTAAAAGAGAAGTGTAGGAATGGAAATAGAGATTTTTGATCCATGAGAATAAGTGCTAATTCTAAGGATGAGAATGTGACACTTTTTAAGACACTTTTTAAGACAGAAGAGAAAACAATGAAAATAAAAATAAGCACCACACCACAGGTGGTACACAGTATTTAATAAAGAATCGTCTGCTAGAATTAAATAATTTATATCCTTTCTTGGCACTTTTCATGCAATTTTGCTAATATGTTTTTCAAGTTATGAATTTTATTCTACCTTTTATTACAGTTTCAAATATTTTTAACTAGTAGGTTGCACCCCCCAAAGATCAGAGATTATATCACATTTACGTTTCTATATCACAGTAATATGTTCGGTAGTTTGTGCATAATACTTTCTCGGTAAACATTTGTTGGTGAATAAATGAATGTTGTGGTATAAGTGTGCTATGAATTCTTTGCTAACACTCAATTTTAGTGTTTTTTGCAATTTAATGTCCATATTTTCAATAGGTCCTAAGTGACTTATATTGCTCAGTTATGAAAAAAGCTTGAATGACTTTGAAATTATTCAAAATGGAATCAGGAGTTCTATGAATCAGACTTATGTATTCAAAGTTACCAAGTAGATCCACGTGGAAGTAGATTGCTTCAAGAGCAGAATATTTGGATTTTTCTCTTATTTGGATTTTCCAAAAGCTCCTGAAATTAAAATGCTTTAATAATCTTATTATTAAATATTTCTAATCTTTGTCATTTTATTAAAGTCATAGTTCTAAATAAGTAACGTTTAATGTATGATCAGTTACTCCTTTCTTTCCTTAATAAAAATTTACTAAAACCCATGTTTTTTTTTCTAATTAATAATTTGGATTTTTTCTTGTGTCTTCATTTCTCATTTATCTTTATAGGTAGGAATTTATTTTGGTACTGATTCTTCTAACAGAACATAATAGTTGGACATATATTTTTACTTAAAAATATAATATAAATTTGCTTAACAATAACAATTCAGTTTAAATTAATAGAGCTGTCTAGTAGTTTAATATTGGAATTACATTATTGTCTTTATATATTAACAGTTTTTAAAATGTATTACTTTCTTTATCAGCCTTTTACATACATTTTTACTTGTCCTCTACCATGCACTAAAATTCAATTTTAACAAATAGATGAATGTAATGCAGATTTCCTGAACCAGAAAATAATGTAGAAAAACATCTTAATATTTACAACTGATTTGTGAAATAGATGTGTTTCTCTCTCAATGCTAGAAGATTCTTAACATGGAAATTTAAATAAGTGATTTTTCTTCAGATGCTTTAAAATATACTACACATTGTTTTGGATAAATCTTGCTTTAGATACATGTGTGTCGGCATATGTTGACTACAACCATGTTTGTTTTCTTGCAGGGGGACATCCAGCAGTTGTTGATCATAGGTGACCCCAAAGCAGCATATGACTACTGTGAGCATTATAGTCCAGACTGTGATTCTTCAGCACCCAAGGCTGCTCAGGCTCAGGAACCTCAGATAGATGAGGTGAGAAGCCCAAGTTCAAGGCAGGTCCTCTCAATTCAGTGATATGGTATAGCCTTGCAGTTTTTGGACTTAGACTTATTTATTCAATTTTAATTAAACTATACTTTGTATTTAATAGTGTTTTAATATTTCTAGCAAAAGGTGACTTGAAGATATTTGTTGTTTTATCTCTCTTGTTTAAGCATTCTGTTACTTAAATTTATTAGAAATATCCTGTGTATATGAGCATATTTCATTTTGGGAGGATGAGAAAAAGATAATTTCTAAGAGCTATGTTTCTGCCCTTAGCATTTAAATAATTAACACAGCCTCAAGATAAGGGCAACGTATCTTCTGGTGTAGTTGCCATTTTCCCAGGTCTTTGGCAGTTCATGCATATGAGAAAGTGACATTAGAACTATCTTAAAGTTCTCAGGCTGTGTTGAATAATTAGAGGCATTTTTTTCTGTTTCTCATATAGAAATGAAAAAGCAAAGCAGGTGAACTGGAAGGGATTTAGGCTTCAGTCTGGAGCAAAACTATGTTTTTACGTTTTTTTCTCAAGACTAATAATGTTAAATTTTAGAAACGGGGTAGAAATTTGAAAGCATCAAGACTATTCTAAAATTAGCTCAAATAGTATTTTTTCCTCCCTTTTAAATATGCTATTATCTGCTGCCATTAGAGTTTTACTACTCAGAACAGGTTAAGATCTTATATTTTAATCCATTTTTATTTCTGAAAGGAATGCAGGTTGAATTTTATAATTTAAATGCTCGAAGTATATTTTTTGACACTATTTGAATTTTTAGGGTATGATAGTGAATTCTGTTGCACTGATCTTTTCCATGACTTAATATTAGTGTTTTCTTTAAAACAGGGTACAATCTTAAGAAGCCATCAGGAAGGCAAATATGAGAGAGCAAAGAGAAATTACTTGGATATTTTGTTTGCCTGTTTCACAGTTCTCAAGTGCTTCATTCTTTTTATTCCCTCATGGTTTACTATATACTGTGTGTTTCCTGTGAATTTCAAGATGATAGGTAAAATACACATTAGGTTTAGTGTTTTTGTATCTGAAAGGTTATATGATGACTTAATATTATTAAAACTTATAGCACTTAAGGTTGATGAGATTTATTTTGCTCCATTTTTGAAAAGATAAGGCTTATTCGTTTTAGCAACAGATATGGCTCTGAATTTCGGAAGAAGGAAGGTATACGATTTTAACATATCACTTTGAGGTGTTTTGTTTCTGTGTTTTAATTCTATTTTGTCAAGTGAAGTGGTTTATTTTATATCCAGATAATTTTTATCCATCTTAAGATCATTTAAAAGTGAATTTTCTCTATTTTAGTTGTTGGTATGCATATAGTAAAAGAGTACTTCAAAAAGCTCATGGAAAAATAGAATTAAAAGATAATATGAATCTTTACACTTTTTGAAGTACGCTTATATTTAACACGCTGATGAGATGTCAAACTTGCTTTTACTAGAAGCATTTGATGAGGAAAAAAACACAAAACTTTGCTATAATAGAAACTGCATGAAAATCTGGGTGGTTAATGCAGCAATAGATAACATTTGTTACTGGTTTCTATTTTGACTGTGTCACAATGAAAAGTTTTATTTTTATTTTCTATTTTTTTGGAAGAATCAGATCTCACTTTTTCTCTAACTCTAAATTATATCAATATTTCAATAATAAGATAAACATTCTTTTCTAGTACTTAAAAAAGTTAATCAAATTGGTAAGCAATCTCTATATTAATTTTGAACTGTATTCATTAATATGTCTTATATTACAAATATGCAGTTTAATAATTGATCACCAGATGTTTCACCTGTACAAAATAGTAATGCAGTGCTACTTGCTGGAGAATAAAGAGAATGAAAGACAATACAGAGCATCAAAAAACACATGTTGCACTTTATATTGCTTAACTTTCCATTAATAAATTTATGACATTGTATATTTATTATTCTAATTCAGATTAATAAATATGTCAATTTCTTTAAAGAATTAACCCAAGTGAGCTTTTTCTAACTTGTAATTTTGTCTGTTTAGTCTCCTCTAAATAACACATTCTAATCCATTCTTAAGATTCAATTGGTTATGTGCTTGGCACAACTTTGCATCACCAAGTGAGAGATGTATAATGTAGATAGATTTTAATGCAATTTGAATTCTATTTGAACCTACACAATGCCATTTAAATAGAAGAGTAACTAATATTAAAATTATGATGATTTTTGAATTTTCTCATCACATTAATTATCTTCCTGTCTTATAAGAAATTAGATGTTAAATTTATATGATTCTTAATATATCACACTTCTGTAATGCCTTACATATAGAAGACAATTGATATTCTTTTTTATAAAGAAGAAAAAAAGAAAATGAAGCAAAAGAAAGACAATCTTTTATGAAGGAATTTAAAAAATAATTTCCCAAATTAATTTCCTTAATCGTCTTTTCACTTAACATGCATCATATATTCTAGTTCTCATAGATGCATAGGTTTTTACTGACACCACTATCTTTCTAACAAATTAAGAACAGACTTTATGACATTTCCAGAAGATCCTTTCTCCTCACATACTCTAATTTTTGCTAGGCTACTCACAGATTAAGTTGAAATCATTCCATCACTACATGTCTTTTTGCATATATTCATTTGATTACAGTTAGTTCTTTTTTCTCTATTTTCAAGACATTCTCAAAATTCCATACTGTGAAGGGAGAATCATCTATAAAAATGGGTAGTGACATTTCATGTAGACTAGCAGTGCCCTAGATATACTCAATTCCAACAAAAGGGGAATGCTGTGTGATGAAAAAATAAGGAGAACAGAAACAGCAATTCTTTTCATTGACACCTAAATAAGTTCTAAGAGAAAAATGTGCTGTAATACCTGAGGAGGTGAGCATGGTATTTCTCTTATTATTCCACAACCAGTTTGATTGGTCTTCACTTGGAAATAGTTCAAGTAAAGGAGAGAATTATTGATGTCAAAAGAGGTTTCCTCCTACAAGAGAAAAACATGATATAAATTTAATTGGCTACTTAGGTGCAGGTTTATATATCCCTAAATACCAGGCTTCAATTATAAATGCATTTAAATTGTCCATATATAAAATCGGTCTTTTATGCCTTTATTTATTGTTTCTCATTTTAACAATTCATTAAAGGTAGTCCATGATTCTGAAAGTCTGCTTAATTTTAAACCTCTAACACATAAAATAGACTGGCAAATCTTTTTTTTTTTTTTTTTTTTTTCTGTGGCAGCTAGTAGGTATAAAAATCCTGTGTTTCTTTTTCCGACATGGGACTATAACTGCAGAAAAATTACTTATTAGATAATATTCAATCTCTATTAATGTCAACTTAATAGGTGGTTAAATTTGGTTATTTAAGTGTTTTATTTACTGAATGGTATTAATAATGCTTACATTAAATTTTCTAGAAGTAGTTGGTATTTTGTCTTGCCTACAAAGTTATGAACAAGCAAAAATGAAGTACTATATACATGCATTTTTTTATTTTACCAAATTCACTATAAATTCTAATAAGCATAAAGCTTTGCTGAACTGCTTCCAATGTATATTCATTAATAGTGAAGCTATTACTAGAGGAATACAATTATGAATCTGTTTACTAGTTGTATTAAATTGGAGTTTGACAATCATAAAGAACATGTCTATGCTTATATTTCAGCATGACCTTCACCTGAATCGTTAGAAAACTTCACTCTAGTGAGGGTTTTTCTTTAAGGGCCAGACGTACAATATTGCTACAGGACCAGTTTCGGACATGTCTCATACATGTCTTTATGAAATTTGCAGAATTCGCATTGCTGCATCTAATAGAGCTTATTAAATGGCATTGTGATCACAATTTTCTAAAAGATATGCTGTCAATAGTTACTCTGAAATGCCAAGACAGGTCCAGTTGCAACATAATTGGAATTTTATCAAATGCAATACTTAGGGAATTACATTTAGGTTGCTTTTAGCATTTATATGTATATTTCTAGGGTGCTTGATGCACGTATTGCTGAACTTTTTGTGCTATATATGACCTTAGTGTATTTACAGCTATTTCGATTAAAAACAAAGATTAATATATGTTTCATAATACCAATATTCTTGATTGAAAAATTGAAATTTTCATTCATATATTTACTTTGGAGGTGAATTCATTATTTTCCTCATCGTCCAATATATATGATTGTCTTTCTTGCCCTTCTATTAAGAAATGTAACTACTTTTCCCAATTAGATTCTTCTTAATACAGAAGAATCTAGTATCAAATAGTATTTTCCGTTGTGAATTCAGTTTAAGTAGTTTAAGATATCTGAGTGGTATGCTTTTCTCCCAACAGAGAAAAAAGCAGTAATTTCAAAGACTGAAATAACGTATTAATTATAAGCATATCTAATTTTAAATCTTTTAATACTTCACATGTATTTTGTGCTCATTTTGAAATGAGAGATTTCTGGATAAATTTTAGATTTTACTTTTCCATTGAATACAGCATTCCAGATAGAATATAGATTTATTTCATGTTCCTTATATTCTCTTTCCCTCCTCTCCCCTTTCCCATCTCACAATAGATATGCCAGACCCCTCACCCCTGGGAAGACTACTCTTCATATTTTTATTTTTACACATATAGTTTAATAATAAAAAAGTACCCATTGAAATTGCTGTAGAATTTTTATGGAGGAACCTTGCATAGCAATTTTTACAAATCAAATTTAACATGAATATTTAGTAGCTATGTCCAAGTACGTAATTGCTATATTTGAATTAACATTCAGTAATGAAAAGTTTGAATTATTATTCAAAACTTTTAGTTTTCTCACATTCCTAACAACTATTGTGCTCTTAGAAAATGTGCTTTGTCACTTATATGTTATTATACTCTGTATAAGACAGTATAATACTTCTATGCAATCAAAATAACTTTTAAATAACAGTATTTCCTTGTCTCTTAACATTTACACTAAGTAAAAGTTAAGATGATTCCCACTTTCTTAACAGTATTACTTGCAACTAACAAAATTGCCTGATATTTTTTCCTTTGCGATGTAGTATGCACCTGAGGATATAATCGAATATGACTATGAGTATGGGGAAGCAGACTATAAAGAGGCTGAAAGTGTAACAGAAAGACCCACTGTATCTGAGGAGACAATAGCACAAACAGAGGTAAAAACAAAATAGCACCTTTGTATGTGGTGTCTTGCTGTTCCTCATCCTTTGGTTCCTTATTTTGACTGTTCCTTAGACTTATCATAAACCTTTCATTCATCTTATTTCTATGAACCAATAACTGTGATTTTTATTTGACAGTAGCTGTCCTGAAGGAATGACACCAATTTTGCTTTTCTTATCCTTCCTTTCGTCCGTGCTCTTTATTTTCCTTTTCACTTTATTTATGTTTTCTATCCTATCTTCCACTACATTTTACAGAAAAAGAAATCCAATTTCAAAAAGAAGACGAGGACAGTGGCCACTAACTCAAAGGAAAAGCCCCAAAAGCTTACACCCCCCAAATCTGAAAAAATTGCATCCAAGAAGAAGCAAAGTTATCAAGCAGCAGCTAAAGCCAAACTAGGGGTAAAGGTAGCAAAGAAAAAACAATCAAGATCTATCCTAGATAAGCTGGAAGATCTCTGATGATGAGTCATAGTCTTAACCCAACTAGATAAATACTCATTTGGCTAATACTATGACCCAATTAAGTCATGATTTCCATACATTTGGAATTACCTTACATGTTTACTAATTGTTTTTCTTCTGAATTTATCATTAGGCAAATATTGTTGATGATTTTCAAGAGTACAACTATGGAACAATGGAAAGTTACCAGACAGAAGCTCCTAGGAGTGTATCAGGATCAAATGAGGTAATACACACAGACGATATTAAATCACAATTTAATTTTTTAAAATGTGTAATATATTTTGATATTCCTCACTCTGGAAGAATCTATAATCTCCACAATGTTTGATTTTTTTTTTCTTTTACTGTAGTAAAAGAAACAGTAGCATTGGTTCACTATTACTAAAAACAGTGCATTTGAAATAAAGGTTAATTCAGGTTTTGCATGACTCTTTGCTTCACGCAATTGTTACGTTGATCATACTGAACTGGCTGCTGTCATTTTCTTGGTTGCTCCTGGGAGTTAGCAGTCTTTTCAACATGCTGTGACCAAGGGACATACGACATGATCCTTCTGTGAGAAGAATCCTCTAAAGGGAAAATTGTATCATCTAATGATACAATTAGAATTTCATTCTATCTGACCAATAATCATGCATTTTTACAACAGCAAGCATTTTGAAAAAATGTAGTCTTTAGTAGATTTTAATAGTTACTTATGTTTTCAAATCTGTGAGGAATGTGATGTTAATTATAGATAAAATAATATATTTTACCGTTTCCATTATTTTCTATGAAAATATTCAAGTACATAGAGATAAAAATCAAATAATCCTGAATTTCATATTGCACATGCATTCTGGTCATGAAAAAATCTGTATACAATTCAGCTTAACTTTGTTAAATACCTGGTGTATATTTGTTTGCGATTTTATCAGAAAAGGAGTATAAAGAATATGTCATTTACTTATTAGAATATTTGTATAAAGTGTGTCCCAATGAGACAGACAAAATCGGTATTGCTTTACATGCAGATAAATAACTTAGAATAATAAAAATTTAGGATGAGAATGGATTTTAAGTTTCACCTAGTTCAAACTAATAATTTTTCAGAAATGGGGATTATGATTCAAGATGTTTATTTACCTACCCAAATTCATCTAACTTTTTAGTTCAGATCTATGAACACAGTAGTATGCTGACCCTGGATAATTTGTAACCTCTGTAGACAGTATATACTTCTTTTCAAAGAGTCCAAAAAGATTATGGTTATTGGAGATTTTATTTTAGTTAATAATTTCTAAATTAACCATTTATCCACATATTTTTATTTACATGATTTTGTGTAAAGTTACTTTATTCAATATTACCCTATTATCTAGATGTACCATTTCATAGAAAGCCTGTTACTTAAAAATAAAATTCAAAAAGAAGCAAGATAAATTATTTGAACCCATAAGAATCATAATAAGCTAAATATTTACATATTAGGTATAATTCAGATTTATATATTAATAAGGAATTACTTATGAGAGAAAAAAATTATACTAGGTTTATTTTCTATACCTCTGAATAAATATCATTGACATAATTTTTACCTTAATATTTACTCTCTACTCTTTATGAGATTGTGTAGTGGTATTTTATATTTCATTGTCTTAAAATCTGAGGACTATAATTTACATGTAATTTGTTTTAAGGAACTCTTTGGTGAAATACTGCTTCCCTACAAACAAGATACTCTGTGTAATCATTGCAATGATAAATACTGGTTGATATTGGCATTATTATTTTATTTTGGGGATTGACAGCCAACCTTACATGGCTTATCTTTACAGCAATTGTATTTTACAATGATGTTGTATGAAATTTGAAAATTAACAAAGCTTTAACTAAATGCATAATTTATCGTTCAAATCTTAAACTATAAAATAAAAACCAAATTGACTAACGAAATTTTTTCAATGGAACAAGCAAATACACATGAGAAGTGCATGTGAATATTTGCAGTTTATTGGAAAAAATGCTTTGAAAGCAATATTTCTTTGTACATACCAATGTACAAGTATATTTCTTTCAATAATACTGGAAGGCTGCCTTTCCACGCCTTCAAAATTGCTTGAGTAGTAATAAAATCACTTTCCGTCATATACCATCAAACTATAATCGCATACACTTACCTTGCTTTACTAATAGTAAACTTCATGTTCTCCAATTCCTTGCAACTTAAACTAATAGCCAAATCCAGTTGAAGAAGTATTCACTGAAGAATATCTAACTGGAGAGGATTATGATTCCCAGAGGAAAAATTCCGAGGATACACTATATGAAAACAAAGGGATAGACGGCAGGGACTCTGATCTTCTGGTAGATGGAGATTTAGGCGAATATGATTTTTATGAATATAAAGAATATGAAGATAAACCAACAAGTCCCCCTAATGAAGAATTCGGTCCAGGTGTACCAGCAGAAATTGATATCACAGAAACAAGCGTAAGTTGTCACTACACTCTGTGTCATTGTATGTCTTATTTTGGAGGTATTTTCATGTTCATCTTAATGTCTTTTCAGGTTTAAATTACAGGTTGAGTTCTTATATAAATTATGACTACTTATCACTACTAAAACACCTTGATAGCTCCTGGGAATCTTCAGCAGTAGTATCTCCGGCCATACTACTGGAGTCTTCATTCAAAAGTATATTCTTGAATGGAATTGTATCAAAAATTTCTGGTCATTGATAACATTATAATATTATCATTGTTATTCTGAGTAGGAAGTCTAATTTATGATTTTTAGATTATTTTCTTAAATTTAATTTGACGATGCTTCTTCATGCCTTGGAATTATAACTGAAGTCTACAGATGTCTTTACCTTGCTATGTTTTTAAGAAGCAATTGTTCAATCTCATTTCAAGACTC